TTTCATGAAGAAAAACTTTTATTGAAAGAATAACTACTCTGCAATGTAATGTCTCAAATGGTTCACCACACAAACTATTTGTCAATGAAATCCAAGCAGGAGTACGTAGATAATCCTTAAGGATGGAATGACATCAAAGACGAGGTACAAACTAAGTAGATAGAAGTCATCCTAAGTTGCATGGGTACAGGTAAAAAAATACCCTACCCCACAATTTCCAAAAATTTGGTACGGGTACGGAACAAAGCAAATTTGTAAAAGGTAGCATACAGGGACACGTCTATAACCGTACCTGGAAATTTTGTAAGAGAATAGGGTACAAGGACACAACTATACATATGTATGTTGTGAATTAAAATTAATAATTTACATAAGATTAATATTTTTTTCATTCACATTAGATCAATGTATAAGAAATAGACGTGGAAGTGTAGGATATGTCCAAAAAGTTTGAGGAGAGTTTTAACTTTAAACATGTATTATGTAATTGACAATATGCCTGAATTAACGTATGCATATATTCAAGAAGTGTCCAAAAAGTTTCGCTATGGTTACGGGCACGCATTGGGTGTGGGTACGGCTACCCGATAGAAGTACCCAGGAAACACAGCTCTTAGTAAACAGTTGATTTCTTTTTGTCTTGCCATAACCATGTGTGGCAGAATAGAAAGTACTCCAAAAATATCTCAACTTTGCAAGTAAACGTTTATAAAAAAGAAAGAAAAGAAATCAACTCTTTTTTATTTTAAATGCTAACCGGCTCAAAGACAAAAATTTAAAAGCTATGGGGATGAATATTCATGTTCCCCCTAAAAAGAGCATCAAACAAATCAGCGCCAGAATCATATAAAACTTTTCAGCAATGATTCTCGCTATAGTGGGTGACGTTTAGTAGGGTGCATCTCTGGAAATTGGATAAAAAAATGAATAAAAAAACAATCCACAACAGATCTTCTTAGCAATATTAGGTTCTATAAAGTATAAACTATATGCATAGCCGGAAACTATAAAAAGATTAATAACTTGGCCAGATATGAAGGCTTGGGTCTTACCAACAACGGTACTAACTTCTCCAAGCCCAAGTGAATCTCTGAAAAGTTCTACACTTTGATCATATGAGGCAAGCATGCCCATATTTAAAGCCATTGCTCTCACTACAGTAGGCCCTGCACCTTTCCAGAGTGCCAGAACCCCTTCATCAGCAACAATACGGGTAAGCGCATGAAATGCATTTTTGTAGTGCCGCCTCTGTGCTAGGGGCAGTGTTGCATCAGCCTGCATTCGGATGAGAGCCAAATCAGCTGGACTACCAACAGTTGCTCCGATTGCTCCTGCTGTCAAACCAATTGCAGCTTTCTGAAGGAGTGGAAGGGGTTTTCCATCATTAGCCTCAATCGCTTTGTTGGTAAGTACTCTACAAATAAGAAAAAGAACAGTCAGAAATAACTTAGAAACAAAAAATAAAATAGAATTGCACTTTCATAAAGAGTTAATAATCAACAGTCTATTCTGTAAGAGTATACAGTCATGAAGTGTTTGGTAACTTAAACAATCCATCAATCGCTAATTATCATCTATCCACATAGGTTTCTAGAAACAACATTAAACAGCAGAACATGGGCACTACGGGGATCAGATTCCATCTAGCTCTTTCAATGATTTTAGTTTTTCTGATCTAATTTAGACTCTTTCCTTGTTTAGGACTATTTGAAGATTGGTCCCTCGTTCTATGAGCTTCAATTGCAAGGTTGTGAGAACCCCAAGGATTACTTTTGAGAAGACCAATAAGCAGTGTCAAAGTTTCATGACAAAAATTTAGATTGTCCTGTCAGAACTTGGCACAATTAGGCTGACACTACCAACTGGTCAACCAAGCTTGTTGTGTTTTACTTTGGAATCCCAACTTTGAGCATAGAAACCCAATATTGATGGGAAAGAGCTTGATGTGGAGAAGAAACCACATTTTTATTTCCAACAGAAAACATACTGAGGACTTGACAAAATGTGGCAGAAACACGATCCCTTCAACAAATTCTTTTACCAGATATATCGTATTGAGACAGCCCTCATGGTCTGATCAAGCTATCTTCACTGAGAAACACTGTCTAGAAATTTTAGGTCCCAGAGCTAGACTAAAAAGTGACATCTTTCAGAGATTAACATGAATATTTGGATAAATTTACTGAAGCAAGGCAGGTAGTTTCCAATTTGAGTATCCACAAGGTTATTTTATTGAACTTAACATGAAAAAAGAACTTACCAAATTCTACCATAGAATGGAGAAAATGGCTTTCCTGCAGAATGAAGTATTTTTGGAATATATTCTTACCTAAATGATCCAAGACGTGCTGTTGTGTATGTAGCTTGCCTTAATAAACCAGCAGAAAGCCCCTGTTCGCAAACATCATATCAGAACAATTAAAAAATCAGAATTTATTGATGCTATCAACAAACATAGTAAGTAAAATATGATTGTTGAGCTGCCCATGAAAGCTTCAAAAGTAGAAGGCCTCAATAAGAATTAATGAATATATGACAAGATGTGCTTATTAATAAATGTATATCTTATGGCAACATACCTTTCGAAGCATGGCTGGTACTTGACCCAATTTACTAGTGATTGCTAAATGTGGTTTGAATATGATGTATATCTCAAGAAGTTTATCGTCTAAAGAAAATTATAAATGATTGGAAGCATTATCCACAAGAATAGTTTGACAAATTTAAATTGTTATTGTTAAGCATGTTCCAAAGAAAAGTGTATTTGATCACAATATTTAGACATTGCTCATCTATTGGTACTATAGTTACACAGTACACAACATTGTAGCGGGTCGTGGTACAAATTTGGATATGCAATTCGCCACTCAAAAAATTTAGATTTGATGGGTGTAGCTTGCTTCAGTATGCAAGTTCAGTTAGTGGTACGTTGTAAATTTTTTTGGGTGTGCTTAAATTTTTCTAAAGTATGTAGAAGAAAAATAGAAATTAGAAAGGCAATTATGCTTTTCAATATCTTTTCATACAAAAACATTTAAATATTTCTTTTTTATGGAGTTCGTTTAGCTATTTTGTTTTGTTTTTTACACATAGTTAGGATCATGGTTTCATTTCATGTTTATTAACACTAGTATAGTGCACGTGCTTTGCACGAGAGCGTACTTTTTTTATGTTTTTTTGGTTGCAAAATAATAAAATGACTTGCATAGTAATATAAATTATGAACATATAATTTTGTTTAAGTGAATAAATTATACGATAAAACTATGTATAAAGAACTACATGATTAATTATTATTTATTCATAATTTATTAAAATAAATATCATTTATTAAATAATTTCTTCTCTTTTAAATATAATAACATTATACATAGCATACTTATAATACTATTAGTAACTACATTTTAATTTAATAATTAGTTTATTATACTATTAGCAAATAATTTACTAAATTGTTTAATTATTAAATTATAGTATAATTTATTAATTTAAAAAACACTATTAAGATCATTATACTATTAATACTATTACAATTACAATAAATACAAATTATTTTTCATACTATTATCATACTTTTAAAAGGCTAGTAAGATGAAAGATAACAGGTAATCCTTCATAAAAGGTGAAATCCTAAGGCACAAAGCATAAGCCTAATGAATTTTTCTTATTTGTAATTTTTCTAGAATTTTAAATATTATGTGAAGATAAATTAGGGATAAATTTTAAATTTTCTATGGAATAACATACTTAAATAATAAATTAATAGTGTGAGCAAAGGTTTCAAAAAAGTGAGGAAATGTATAATTAATAACATACTTAAATAATAAATTAATAGTGTGAGCAAAGGTTTCAAAAAAGTGAGGAAATGTATAATTAATAAGAGGTGATATATAATTAGTGAATGATTAATTACAACCAATGGCAAATTTGAGAATTATCAAACTTTAAAAGGGTAGAAGTAGAAATCAAAAATTTTGACAAGTCAATCCTCTTTTATATGTAGTATAGATAAGTATTTAGTCGTAGCAAAGCCATTGCTTATATAATCTATTATGCATCTCCCTTCACTTGATTGCACAGAATGCATTGCATCTTGTGCATGTACACGTAAAAAGACTTTACGCCGCGCATAATTGTAAGTGATACGTCAATTTTGGGGAACCAATTTGTGTATTGAAGGAATTAGTTTGGAAATTCGCAGGAACTGTCTGATAGTTCGAGGGTGGGTACAAGAATCAGACAATAATGATCGGCACTACAATTCTGACTATATATGCTCATGATATTTGGTGATCAACGACAATCATTAACCATCACGGTATTCTTTCTTCAAAGTCATACTGCGCTCAATTTTTCAAGGACGATATTACTTGTTTGAGATATTTTCTTGGGATACAAGTAGAATATTCCTTTTGAAGGTTTCTCTACCTCAATGAGAGTACATTATGATTTACTAGTTGACAAGTATCCTTGGGTCTATGCCTGTTGATTTATGTTGCATGGGTGCTCCTATCTGGAACCGTACCCATGTCGTACCCGTATCTAGCACCGAAATTTCGATTGACACTCCTTGGATATTTATATATACTTATTCAAATGTTTACTCAATTATATATGTATTTAGTTTAAAACACTTGTCATATATCTCTTAGACGTATATCGTACACTTCACATTCAATTCTCGAAACTCATCAAACATGAGTTGGGTTCATATCCGCCCAGACCCGATTCAAAATTATGATCAGGTTCTTTTGGATATTAAGTTAAGAAAAGAACAAATTTCTAATTTATGGATATCAAGGACGACTTTAGAGGGAGGCAAGCAGGGGCTATCAACCACCCCCCCAACCCCAAAGTTTGGAGTATACACCTATAAAGCACCTATCAAATAGAGAAAAAACTGAAGCAACTTGGATGTTCATTCATTCAATTTCGGGTACAATGAAAATTTATTTTAGCCTTTGCAAATTATGAACCTAAGTAAATACCTCCACCAACTGTAGGACCCACTCCTCAAATTATTCATATGATGTATGGCTTTTTGATATTATTCTCTTAAATCTTTAATATGTAGAGTCCATCAAATTATTGCAATTGATATTAGATCCCCAAATTTTATATTCTGTGGTGTTACTCTTGGTTGGAGGGATTAACTTGAAGAATTGAGAGACCTAATAGCAATATTAATAATTTAATGGAGTATTTTTTAACAACTCATAATAATTGAGGGACCTATTAGTAATTACAATTATTTGAAGAATTAATTCGAAATGTTAATCATATTTAAGAGATTAATATCTGAAAAATACTACGTTTTAATGATTTATAGTTACATTTGTGATTTTTGGGAATATATATGATCCTATCAAAGATTATCAAGCACGTTGTACTATTCTCTTTAAAATTTCAGGAAATATAGATGAGCAATTCACTGTTAAAGTGAAGGATGAGGATCAAGATATACTTGAGCGAGCGTTCAAATTGATCTTTTTAACTTGATGGGGCAGTTGAATAGAATTATATTACAGTCTTTGTGATGGGGAATGACAAGATGATATTCTTGATAGAACTTATTTGGATCAAATAAAATAATATTACAAATAATAAAATTGCACTCATTATTTAAGAATAGAAAAAGATACAGAGGTGGGTCTCACACACGGACACCTCACATGCCAGCACCTCACATGCCAATACTTGTTGCAATTCACATGCAGATTTCTCAAAAAATTCTTCTCTCCTCCCCCTCAAATGAAAAAGTACTATCATTATATAAAACTAAAACAAAATCCTAATCCTAACTAATAGATAAGATCAAATCACTCATCACAACAAAATAAAAGATTCATTCCCAAACTAAATAACAAACTCAATCTTAACTAAAAATCTGGACCAAAAGAAAAATCAAATCCTTAAAAAGAACCCTAATCCCATCAGATCAAATATTTTTACCAGATTCAGATTTGAATCTGTCATGCATCACTTTTTATCGTTAAATTTATAGAGGACAACATTTTTGCAATCAATAAAATAGAAGAGGATTTAATTGAGCTTGACGTGATTTGTTCATTCATAACACTCAGCTCCCCAGGCAATGGTGGAGCCATGATTTTTTTTTGGGGTAGGGGGGTGGGAGTATAACCCTCATACTACACACTATCAAAATGTGATCAAATATGATAATATATAATAAATCTTGATAAGGTTTTTTTTTAAAAAAAGACCTTTTTTGCTAAATAATTAGCAAAATCGACTGTTTTACTAATTATTTAGTAAAAACGACCTCTTTTTGACCAACAGGTCAAAAAGATGTCGTTTTTAAAAAATAATCTGCTCGAAATATACGGTACTACTAATCCCGTATGTTTTGTATGCACTAATCACGGATTAAAAAATAAACAAGACATACGGGACTACTAGTCCGGTATGTTTTGTTTGTGATTAGCAAAACCACCTCCTCAACTTTTCTCTACAACCATTGCTTTCGTTCCCCTTCCTCATCCTTCCCCAAATCCTATTTTTTCATCAAATCCCTCCCCACCCTAACCCCCGTCCACACCCACCCTAACCCCCTTTCTTGACCCCACCGCCCTCCACCGCATCCAAACCCTAACCTCCTTCCACCTCATGCACCGCTTCCCTCCGACGCCTCCCTCCACATCCGCTGAGCCCCCCAAGAACTGGACCCCAAAGAACTGGACCCCACCATCACCCTCCTCGCGAGTCCTTCGCCGAGTCTTCGTGGACGGTGGAGGCCGCTGC